CTCCAATTTCCCCTCTTTCGAGAAATTTGAACCCTTTCTTAGTTCTCCGTGGCTTTTCTATTATATACTGCACAACATCTGGGGCACATCAGAGCCTTAAAGTGCTTCTTTTGACAGGAAACAAGAAAATCCAATAGACTCTTTCATGTTTTTGGTCTGCTAATTGGGCCATGTCTCTTAAGTATTGGGTGTCTAATTTCTTTCGAATGGAGTAATCCAAACCACTTATGGCTATTTCGACCAACTCATGTTCAGGCACTTGTGTAAAACACCTTGCCTTCAACAAATGGAACCTATTTAAGTAATCATCAATAGGCTCAGTAACCTTTCTCTTGATACTGACCAATTCTTTGAGACCAATCTTTGATTGTCCCATATAGAACTTCTCATGGAATAACCTCTCTAAGCGAGTCAAAACATGGATAGAATTTGTTGAAAGGGTGGTGAACCATGTGAAATAATTTTTGGTTAGAAAACTAGGGAAGTATTTTATCCTTAAATTTACATTATTCGCTATGTCCCCAGACTCGATAAAATACCTGGCTATATGTTCGACAGTAGATTCACTGGTGTCACCAGAGAATTTTGTGAACTTTAGGACCTTCCAACCCCTGGGTAACTCAGTGTGTAGAACATATTCAGACAAAGGGGATGTGTAATTTGGCCTTCGAAGGCCTATATTTACCCCATTTTGAGCCTTTTTTTTACCATGGCTGCCAGATTATTTCCCCCTGGTGTCACACTCCAAATTTCGCCCCTAAATATTTAGTCGCATTAGCATGACATATTTCATTTTACCTGATCACAATCTTCGATAAAAAATTTCATTCATTGCATTTGTATCATTAGTCGCATTTAAGTTGACCAAAAGTCAGTTTAAATCAAAATTTGCATCTTTTAGAGTTGAAAAGTACTCATTATTTCATTTCATGCATTTTTATCTCTTTATCTGCTTCATGCGTTGCGCCAAGTTGATCATATTTCAATAATAGTCATATTTTGATTCTACAGGAAGACCAGTAAAAGTGATTCGACACAGTGCGTAAAATTAGTGGGAAAAATATTTTAAGTGTTGATATTTAACTGGTTGTTTTATGCATCTACGTCGCGCATAGATCGTATTGGCGTGCACACTTTATTTTTTCAACGCTGTTTACGATCACATTTTTACTTGTCAGAGCTTGTTTAACTGGAATTTTTTATTTGTGATTTTGATCATCTGCAGTCATTTTTATTAAACTTCATCGTGCATAGATCATAATGGTGCATTCATTTTATTTTTCTGATCAAGCGCACACACGATTGTTATGCGTTCCGATCCAATTGCTATTTCAAAATTAAAAAGTAAATCTTAAAATAGTAGAAATAGTTTTGTTTGTGTGTTTTGATGTGATAAAGTGACAATAAAAAGTAAGTATTTATTTAGTTTTATCATATCGTCTCCATAGAGATTAATGCTACTGAATTTTCGTTCGACAATTTCTCGCATTTATGAGTTTGGATTTGAATGTGTTTAAAGTAAATGTGAGAATTAAACATATGAACAAGAAATAATACATTCTTCGGTGAGATGCTGGAAGAGAGAAGAAGAATGCAAAAAGCAGATGGAAAATGTAACAGAAATCAGTTACAATGCTGCACCAGAACTTATTCATTTTATTCATTAATCAATACAGGGTACAGTAAGCATTATATATACAAAAGGATAAAGGATAGAAATGAATGGATATCCAAAGATTTAAAAACAGTATACGTGGCATCCTCTGATAGGCTAAAAACAATAGAATATATGAGAACTGATTCTATCTATAAACAAGGATATTAACAAACTTGTCCTCCACATACATTTTTAGGCGTTATGAAATGAAAAAGAAAATAAAAAAAAACATGTTTCTAACTACAAGAAATGAAAAGAAAAAAACGGAAAAACAAAAACATGATTCTAACTACAAATTAAACGTAGCAGCTCCATACAAAAACACACACGTCTTCTATACAAATTAGAGACACAAGTATGCCTATATAAATGTGAGAAGTCAAACGACATAAGGTAATACAACTAAACATTGGCCATAAATCAATACAATGTTGCTAAATTCATCTTTTGTTTCACTTCCTAGTTTCTTGAAACCTCAACAACTACCAAAAACTAAACTTCCTAGTTTAAATGGTTCTCTCCTTTCATGTTATCAATCATGAATTTACACTACTCAAAACAAACTTAAATCTATCGATCAATCACACTCAACCTATAATACTTGTCAAAACCATTAAATATCTCTCTAAATGTTCCACAATAGAGGTTATGTCTAACACAAAGTTGGAGACAACCGTATTACTCGCATTGACAATCTCTCAGCACAACACAAATAACACAGATGCATTAAACTTCGATACCCACGGTGATTTTTAGCTATAAATCTATCTCTAGAATCTAGAAACTAATTGATATTCATCCTTAACCAATATTTATGAGGTATATGCTTATAACAACCCAAACCCTAACATAAATGCAAAAAGATCAAAGAAGACATCAACAATGATTTATAAAGCAACCTTTATACAACACCATGACCAATACATATACATATGTTCAAAGTAAATCTACAAACAAAACCCAATAAAATATAGTTTACAAAAAGAGGAAAAAGAGATAAACCAACACTTCTCGAGTTATCAAGACGATTGGTGAGAATCCACCTCCGATTCGACAAGATGCAACCCCAATTAATGTTTTCTAAGCTCTCTCTACCAAAAAATGGGTTTGATGGTGGGACCTAAAAATATGTTTTTCACCTATTAAATGAGTTTTGAAATTGCAGGTCGTGCATAGTGCACAAAGGGTGCTTAGCGCCAAACCCATTGTCTCAAAAAAATCAGCTTTTGTTTTCGCCATAACTTGAGAATTGTAACTCTTATTTACGCAAGATTTGAAGCGTTGAAAAGCTTATTCAATACCTATATAATAATGACTAAATATCAACCAAATTGATGATTTTTCTCATCTTTGTTTTGAGCCTTATTCTTTGATGAATTGCTAAAAATGTATTCTCGAAGCTTAGCCTTTGGCCTTTATTACTCAATGCTCTAATTATGAATGAATACCTACAAACGAGATGAAAAACTATCAAATGATATAATATTTACACAAAAACTCAATTATTCTATTATGTACACAAACTAAACGTATTTACAAACAAAGCTGAGATTATTCAAACGATATTAACAAAAAGTATCGATAAGTGCAACAAAACTTATACACTAAAATAACTATAATTTGTATTTATCAAACTCTCCCCAACTTACATCATTGTTTGTCTTCAAACATTAGTCAAACAAACTTAAAGAACAAAAATGTTCAACCAAAGAATCATAAATCAACAAATTTGAAAAACAAAACAAATATATGGTTCAACCAAGGATATTATAGGCTTTTTAATAAATTTGGAGGGTGTCAGATATAACTAGAGAGTGACAAGTTAAATTCTCTAGATATTGTTTAGCAAAATTTCATTTTTGTTGGGTTTAGTTATTATCCCCAAACCTTTTTTTTCTTAAATAAATTGTCTTTATTTAAAAAAAATCTTATAATAAATTTATTATGTTTATTAGTTATCTAATAAATTCAATATGAATGTGACTTTATTCTAAAATATTATTTGCAATAATATTTTTTGAGTTTATTTGCAATAAAATAATTTTACATTATCATTCAATAGTAAATCAACAGTTTATCATATTATTAAAAAAAATTAAAATAAAAAAGTAATATATCATAATATATGATTGTAATTGATTGACAATATAAAACTAATTTACACTATCAATAATCATCTATTTTCTCATATCTCTTTTACATTTTTTTTCATCTCTTTACAATATCAATGAAATTAAAAATATATTATTCATAAAATCACCCTATCTAATAGAAAAGAAATTTTTTATTTTTTTCTAATCTCTTTTCCTTCTCTAAAATCTTCTTTTACCCTCATTCCTAAACTTTCAAATTAAGTGTAAGTCTTTGTAACATCAGCATAATTGAATTTATCCACCAAAAAATGTGTGTAACAACCCCATATTTGGATTTTACCAAAAACCCGTACTAAAATTATTTCTAGTATTTCGTTTTAAATGCGCATAAAATCCTATAATTATTTAAGAACTTGTCCTCCACGTATAATGGTGCGTTCGTTTTATTTTTCTGATCAAGCGCACACACGATTGTTATGCGTTCCGATCCAATTGCTATTTCAAAATTAAAAAATAAATCTTAAAATAGTAGAAATAGTTTTGTTTGTGTGTTTTGATGTGATAAAGCGACAATAAAAAGTAAGTATTTATTTAGTTTTATCATATCGTCTCCATAGAGATTAATGCTACTGAATTTTCGTTCGATAATTTCTCGCATTTATGAGTTTGAATTTGAATGTGTTTAAAGTAAATGTGAGAATTAAACATATAAATAAGAAATAATACATTCTTCGGTGAGAAGCTGGAAGAGAGAAGAAGAATGCAAAAAACAGATGAAAAATGTAACAGAAATCAGTTACAATGCTGCACCAGAACTTATTCATTTTATTCATTAACCAATACAGAGTACAGTAAGCATTATATATACAAAAGGATAAATGATAGAAATGAGTGGATATCCAAAAATATAAAAACAGTATACGTGGCATCCTCTAATAGGCAAAAAACAATAGAATATATGAGAACTGATTCTATCTATAAACAAGAATATTAACAAACTTGTCCTCCACATACATTTTTAGGCGTTATGAAATGAAAAAGAAAATTAAAAAAAACATTGTTTCTAACTACAAGAAATGAAAAGAAAAAAACGAAAAAAATAAATGATTTTAACTACAAATTAAACGTAGCAGCTCCACACAAAAACACACGTCTTCTATACAAATTAGAGACACAAGTATGCCTATATAAATGTGAGCAGTCAACCGACATAAGGTAATACAACTAAACATTGGCCATAAATCAATACAATGTTGCTAAATTCATCTTTTGTTTCACTTCCTAGTTTCTTGAAACCTCAACAACTACCAAAAACTAAATTTCCTAGTTTAAATGCTTCTCTCCTTTCATGTTATGCTACTAGTTCAAATATTTCTCAAAGAAAGTCAGTCAATTACCAACTCAATATTTGGAATTACGATAGTTTATTATCGTTAAAACACGATTATGCGGTAATAATTAGTGATATATTTAGAGGGAAACTTCTCATTTTTCATATTTATTATTCTCTTGCTAAAATATTTATTTAGTAATGCATAACAATCTTAATATTTTTTTAATTTATATTTTGTATTTTTTTAGGATGTCCAGTACGTGAATAGGAGCAAGAGATTGCAAGAGGAAGTAAGAAGAATGATTAACGATGAAAATGAAGAAATCTTAGAGTTAATAGAAAATGTGAAACACTTAGGCGTCAGCTACCACTTTGAAAAGGAGATAAGAGATGCACTTGATAGATTTTTGTCTTTGGAAAAATATGGTGATAAAGTTATTAAAGAAAGTCTTCATGAAACTGCCTTGAAATTTAAGCTTCTTCGAGAATTTGGATATGATATTTCTGCAGGTACATATGCTTGCATTATTTGGATATGAATATATTTTTTTTAAAAATATTTTTATAATTATAAAATTGAAATAATTAGCTTTGTTGGATCACTATTAGCAGTTAAATTGAAAATTTTAAATTTTAATATTTTAATGACAGATGTTTTTGAGAGGTTTAAAGACCACACTGGAAATGGAAATTTTAAGGCATGTCTTGTGGAAGAGGTAAAAGGGATGCTAAGTTTGTATGAGGCGTCGTTTATGTCTTATGAGGGAGAAAACATTTTGGATGAGGCAAATTCCTTCACAAACTTCCACCTTAAAGGAGTTCATGATGATATAAACAATTTTCTTTTTGAACAAGTGAATCATTCATTAGAGCTTCCACTACATCGTAGATTTCAAAGACTTGAAGCTAGATGGTATATTGAGTTATATGGAAAAAGAAAGGATGCAAATAAGGTGTTGCTTGAAGCTGCCAAATTGGATTTCAACATTGTGCAATCAAATCTACAACAAGATCTTATAGAAATGTCAAGGTAAGTATATGAAAACAAGTATCCTATTTGTATAAAAATGTCTTATTTGCATTTTTTATTTGTTTTAAGTGTTTCATCCATATTGATCATCAAAAACTCAAACATTATACAAATTTTATAAAGCTTTTCACTACTACGAAAATGGGCTTTTACAGCGCTTTTTTTTGCCCTTTAAAAGCGCTTAAAAGCGCTGCCGTAGCCAGCGCTGGCGTAGGCTACGAAAGCGCTTTTTTCTGGCCAAAAGCGCTGTCGTAGGTGGACCTATCCCAGCGCTTTTTCCTTAAAAAGCGCTTTGATAGGGGGGTCTTTCCCAGCGCTTTTTGAAAAGCGCTTTGATAGGTGTGCTATTTAAATTTTTTTTTTTATTTATCAGGCCTTTTACAGCGCTTTTTATGGAAAAAACGCTTTGATAGGGGGGTCTTTCCCAGCGCTTTTTCCATAAAAAGCGCTTTGATAGGGGGTTTCTATTAAAATTTTTATTTTATTTATCATGGCTTTTACAGCGCTTTATGGAAAAAGCGCTTTGATAGGGGGGTCTTTCACAGCGCTTTTTCCATAAAAAGCGCTTTGATAGGGGGTTTCTATTTAATTTTTTTTTTATTTATCCTGCCTAAGAAAGCGCTTTCGTAGCTCATACAAATTTTTTAAAGTTAAACCTATAATTTGAGGTTCCCTGTGCGGCCTGTAATTTTTTTTTGGTCCAATAATTTAACCTGTTATTCAATCCTTATAATATTCACAGAAACCGGTATTATATTAACAGAAACCGGTATACCATATAATATTCACTCCTTATCTATATATATGTAACTAAATCATATATAACTAAATTTGTAACCATATATACATTTGTAACCATAACTAAATCACATACAAAGTATCGTGTTAATTTGTAACCATATATATATACATATGTAACTAAATCATATATAATTACATCGAAAATAATGCTCCACCGACACGGTCGTCATCCTGCAAAGTATGAATATGAACAACACGGTAAATTAAACAAACAATATTAAAGGCTCCAACACAATCAAACTAACACGTACAATAATATTTTATTCATACCCATCAGAATAATCTGTTTTCAACATAAAATTGACATATTTCCTCTTTGACTTCTTCCACTTGAACTTTCGTGTACGACATAGTATAGAGGTCATCAAAGTACTACATAAGAAATTATTACTTCAGTATATGCATGATGTTATTAAATGTAGAAATCATACAAAATTATTCTAAGTTATAAATCCATACCGTGCTTGGAATCTCTACTTGATTTTTATGAAGGATTTCTTTCATAAACCTCAAGCAAAAGTATCCGCAATCTACATCGTTATTCTGTAACGGACACTGCATAGAAAAACAGAATATATTTTATAGTTGTCGTGTAATTTTATCAAGTAACATTATTATTATAAGCAACTAATTTTGTACCTGCACTTTGATCCAAGTAATATTTGATGATTTACTCCGGGGTACCTGTGCGTCCCTTTGACTACGAAATATTTGTATTGATCTAAGAAAATAAAAACATATATTTAGATCAATCTCACAGAAATAATTAAATATATAAATATACACGAATAGTTAGAACGATCTCACTTACTGATCAACAGTTTCCTTCATAGCGGGATAGTTAGTCCATTCCCCGTCTACCGAATTCAGAAAGTACACAACTTCTTTAATCGGATCGATAGCCAACAACAACCAGTGTTTTCTAAAAATTTAAGCAACAGTTTAGAAGAAAAGTTTCTACGCAAAATAAACAAAGATATATTAGAATAAATGAAAAACTCACTCCACTGGAACAGTGTTATACGGCAAAATAAACAAGCTATCTGGGTTGCCGACGTAGGCCGTGTATCGATTCACTAAGTACTCCCTAACTGAACCCGGTTCCCTGACAATTGTCGCTCCGCTGACAATATGGGCAGACAAGAAATGGAAGCGTCTTGCCAATACAGTCTCGCGCATTTTTTTATCGTACAACAACCTTAAATAAAAACATATAAACATTAGACTATTTTCATTGAAATGTGTAAATAAATTGTTCAACTAATTAAATGATATATTTATCGGAATACCGGATGTATGCGTGAACATTGCCGATGCCTAATTCACCATGCGTCATAATCTCAGTCATTTCGTCCATTCCTATCGTTTCTTGGCAGTCAAGACCAAAGATATCTGCATCCATAAGGATTGTACGAATACCACCTGACTTCAAATCTGAGGTTTCCAAAAGTACTCCAAGTGTATTCCGATATCGAGGTACAAAAACGCCTCTTCCCCCGCCTCTTCCCCCCTTATGCATTGACTTTTTCGGGGGTGGTCTGCTACGAACAGGCTGGGTCACTTGTTGTGACACTTTCGCAGATACCTAACAATCATATAACTTAGGTAAATTATAAAATCGTTCAGTTTTAAATTCATATCATATAATAAACAATTTAAGTGTACCTCTGGAATTGATGCCATAGACTCGCCGCCTTGCTGCAAAATCTCCTTACCCTTATTAGCGGGTTTTGTAGGAGGCTAATATTAAAAAATAATTAACTTAACGGTTCAGAATTGACATTTGAAATCTAAATGATTCATATTAACGGTTTTAAACATACCTCATCATCAATGAAAATGAGGTCCAAGGGCCATGCAACAAACGACCCTACTGCGTCTCGCACCGATCTTATATCCAAGGCCACGTCAGGTACCGGTACCAACGCATCGGGATCAATAGGATAATCTACTGATACTCTCAGGTGTCCAGCCGGGATCGGTGTATTATGAATTAAATCTCCCAAAGTGTTGTACACTTTTCCCTTGCCAACAAGGTGATAATCTGATGCCATTACGTATAGTTGGCAAGATGAAATGCCCTAAACCAATATGCATACATATTACTTTTAATTCAATAATAGAAAGAGGTGGAATAAAAATGAGAAACTTGAACAATAGAGATTTATCAATATATTTATAATTACCTCAGGAAATTTATTCTGACGGTTGATACTAGCGTTGTCACTAGTTTCTTTCGCCATTGCCGCATTGCCCTTTTCCCTCATTAATACCTCTTTATCTCTTTCCAATGCATTGACTTTTGCTTGTAATTCCATAAGTACATTCATCACTTCTGCATTGGTAGGATTTCTTTTCCGATTATGCTGGTAGAAAGAGGTTGGAGTCACACCGTGACCTTTACCCCTAACCCGACCGGAATACTCAGGAACATTCAGTGCTTTACTAAGTACGCTCCTCGTATCCTGGTCGTCACCGGTGGACTCCGTTTGTGACAATGTCTCCTGAAAATAATGGAGATAAAAAAATCAATTAAATAGTCATAAAAATTTGATTTAATTAAAGACACAATGTTATACTTACGCATTCATCATAAATTCTTAGAACACTTGGATCAACAGCTTGATTCTTGCCCACACGGGCTTCCTTCCACAGCAAATGTGCTGGAAGTGAGGTTTCATCACTTTTCGTCTCCTCTAACTATGCATAGAAACAAACGGTTAGATCATCAAATACAACACATTTAGACAATTAATAAGAACATATCATTTCTATTTATTACTTACAATTTTTTCCTCTAAGCGCGCATATCCCAAACGCCCTTTTTTGTATGGGTACGCGGGCTTTGATGCTCTCTCACTATTTTTGGCACTCTTTTGCCGGAATTCGTCATCTCTTTGTCTAATAAACTCAGTCCAATCTTCTTGTTTAATGAAAAGATTATACTTTTCTGGCCTTCCGGCCGGGAACTCTTCCAGCCACTTTCCTTTGTCATCCTTAAGATAGGTGTTCGTCAACAGATTTTTCCACCCTCTAAATCTTTTCCCAGCCAACCCAAGTACGAAGCCTTTACGCTCATCTGGAACGTTAAAAGACCGCTGCGTATAAACCATATAAACATATAAGTAATTTAAAAACCATATAAACCATATAAACATATAAGTAGTTTAAAAACCATATACACCATATAAACTTATAAACTTATAAACATATAACCATATAAACCATATAACATACATACCTTAACATCTTCCCAAAACATTTCTTTTCCTTGCTTCAATGCTTCACATTGTTTCGCATTCCATCTAGATATGGAGATTGGCACATGCATACGAACAAGTGTACCAACGTAGCTTGTGAATTTTGAAGCATTAACCCCAACTACTTGATTTGAATGATTCCAATCTACATTATATTTCACTCCCTTATCTCTAGCACGAATGATTTCGCGCATTATGGTGATGCCTCGTGCAACATCATTTGCTGAAGTATCATCCGCTGCATGATTTGTTTCTTGTGAGTTTTCATGATCTTGTTGGTTTCCTGGTGGGTTTTCTTGTTGGTTTCCTTGCGGGTTTTCTTCATTGCTAGCCATTAGACCTGTAACAAAAGTCAAACAAGCACATTAGTACACTACATGAAAATGGATAGTCGAAAAAGATATGAATAGCACTAAAGGAACTCAAAATTGAATAAAATGCTAAAAAACCAAACTTGCAAGAAATAAACCTCACCATCAGCTCCGGAAACATTGTTCTACTAATTAAGCACAAGCACATTCTTAAAAATTCAAAACGGTTCAAAAGATATGCCAAAAATTCAAAACATTATTCACATATTACTTACAATATTAGGCTATAATTATAATAATACCTTTTTCACTAACGTCTCTTTCTTTTCTTGGTAGCAATATATTTTACGCTTCTGTTAACAACTCGGATGGTTGGATTGATCCAAATACCCTCATTATGATCATCTCTAGTACAAGGTTCATTCTCATTTTGATCGTTTCTTGTACAAGATTCAATGCCAACGCCAATATCACCTTGATCTCCAATGTTTTCATCAATTACTTTGTTAGACAAAAGCACTATAGACCATTTCGTACTTGTCGGATCATTGACATAGAACACTTGTTTAGCCTGAGAGGCTAGAATAAAAGGTTCATCTTTGTACCCCACCCTATTGAGATCCACTTG